TTCTCTCTTCCACACTCTATGTAAAAAAAATCAATGGAAAAATATCCTCAGGTGAGGATTAGCAAAAAAACTTGGGCTACTGTTTACATAAACAGTTTTATATACAATATTTTAAATCTGGCTAAAATAGAGGAAACAATGGCTGTGATACAAAAGAAAAATTTGTAGCCATAAACAGAGAGAAAGTTTTGTTATTATGTGTATATTACCAAATCAAGTCTTCCTCTTGCCCTCCTCAAAACAGCTCAAGTTGTTTCAGCATTGTAATCTTCAAAGCCAAGCCCTAGGTTGATCCCTAGATTGCTGATCCTTTTTAGGATATGTTTCCTAGATTTCTAGCAAAATATTACTTGAGGCAAAGACATTTTCTGGACCTCTCAGAAGATTGTATTAGATGGTCTCTAAGGAGTCTGGGCTCTAGAAGACTGTGATTATGAATTTTCCTTGGGAAAGATTATTTTAAATATGTTGCATTCACTCAGTAGATAAGTATTAACCTACTGGTGCAAGACTAGATAAAAAGTGCATAAGATGGAAAGTAAAACATGTTCAAAGGCTCTGAAGTAGGAAAAAAAGATGAGCTGGCTGGTGTGGCTTAGTGGTTGAGCATTGCACCATGCACCAGGAGGTCAGCAGGAGGTCATCAGTTCTACCCCTGGTCAGGACACGTGCCCAGGTTGTGGGCCTGGGGAGTGGGGAGCATGCAGGAGGCAGCCAATCAATGTTCTCTCATCGATGTTTTTATCTCTTTCTCTCTCTTCCCTTCCTCTCTCTCTAACAATCAATAAAGAAAAAAAATTTTTTTTTAAATGTAAAAAAAAGATGAAGTATTTGAGGAACTGAAAGAAATACAAAGTGGTTGGATCTTAATTAAGGTGAAAATGCTGCAAGATGAGGCTACTGAAATAGGTAACGAGGGCCTAGTAGATCAATTACGGATTTAGGATGTTTTTTGCTAAGAGCCAGGGAAATCTGAATGGTTTTAAACAAGTGTTTTGATCTCATATGGTGGTGTTTTTTGTTTTAAGATTATTGTGGCTTTTGTGCAAAATGGTAGAGAAGATAAAGAATGACTCATTTAAATCTGTTATTATAGTAGTATGACTGAGAAGTGACAGTGTTAAGGCTAGGTTGGAGTCATTGGAATTGGAAAAAAATTAATAGACTGAAGATATATTCAGGAAGTAGAATTAGTGTCAAAACTATTCACTGAGTGAGGAAAATAAATAAATAAATAAATAAATAAATAAATAAATTAAAAAAACATGTATTCAGAAGGACCCATATTAAGAATCCTCTCAGTTTTCTGTGCAGTCTGAGTCCTATAAGAAAGAATGATCAAAGGTGATGTCCAAAGGATCAATATTTTAAGGCTACACAATCATCCCATGCAAGCAGAATTCAAAGAAAAACAGTACTGAGACAATGTACAGGATCCTTTGGAAGTACCCAAGAGCATGAGACCCTTCCCAAAACTGCTGCTTTCCTGGGACTCTTTACTCAGTGAACAGTTTTGACACTAATTCTACTTCCTGAATATATCTTCAGTCTATTAATTTTTTTCCAATTCCAATGACTCCAACCTAGCCTTAACACTGTCACTTCTCAGTCATACTACTATAATAACAGATTTAAATGAGTCATTCTTTATCTTCTCTACCATTTTGCACAAAAGCCACAATAATCTTAAAACAAAAAACACCACCATATGAGATCAAAACACTTGTTTAAAACCATTCAGATTTCCCTGGCTCTTAGCAAAATCGAGGACATTTTTCGATATTTTGCTCAGATAGAGTGGGAGGGGGAGAGAGAGAAACATCGACTTGAAAGGGACACATCAAGTGGTCGCCACCCACATGACCCAACCAGGGCCCGGGACAAACTGCAACCTAGGTACGTGCCCATGGCGGGAACCGAACCTGGGTCTCTCCAGACCACAGGCCAACGCTCTAACCGCTGAGCCAAACCAGCCAGGGCCTTTTAATGCATTTTAAATAGGCTACAGCTACGTGGGTGTATTGCCTGCATAGCTCTCAAATGTATGGTATAGTCAAAATATCCTAAAAATTATAAAGAGTAGGATCAGCACTTTTTGTTGCAAAGAAGACAAATTCTAGTGGCTTGAGGGATCTTGAGAAAGTACTAGGGTAGCAATTTTCAGCCTTTTTCATTTTATTGCACATATAAACTAATTATTAAAATTCTGCAGCACACCAAAAAAATGCATTTTTTGCTGATATGACAAAAAAATAGGTATAATTTTGATTCATTCACACCAGGCAGCTATTGTTGTGTTGGCTGTTGTAATTTTTTAATTTGACAATCTAAGGAAAAAGAGGTCAGTGCCCCTGACTAGTCAGATATTGTATTTTTAAAAAATCCTTGCGGCACACAGTGTACTAGGTTATGGAACTCAGAATACGTGAGTGGATTGAGTTGAAAATAAAGAAGGATGGACTCTGCCTCTATTTTTTTTTTTTCCTGCCTCTATTTTAACAGTAGGGAATAATAAATAGAATGGGTGAAGACAGATGCAGGTAGTTTTGGTAAACAAAGGGATTATTTTTCGTGTGCCTTATATTTCTCTTTGAAGTAGGAAACAAGGAATTCTGCTGAGAGTGATGGGGTAATGGTTGGAAAAGTTTGATATAGCTGTGGACAGCTGGAGAGCATGTTGTTTTGGTAACCTTGGAGAAAGGCTGGTTATAGAGAAGTTCCCTGAGAGGTGCAGTCATGATGTTATAGTGGAACCAAACTTACCTCTGGGGTAACTTTCTTCAGGGATGCTCCCAACAGAGAAGGTGGGTAACAGGTTTAGTCAGGTTGAGGGTTTTAGGAGACAGGAACAGGAAAATGGCAGAAAGGCAATGGAGTTAAGCATATACTCAAGAACGAATAAATGAAATAAAGTACCATGGAATCTAAACTATGTGGGGAGAAAAAAAAGTTAGGTAGGGAGAGAACTAAGAATAAGAGAGAAAATAGAGGAGTCAAGGTTTAGGAATTATAATGAGATTGAAAATAGTCATAGTGGTTATGATTGGAAATGGGATATTTGAATTACCAAATTTGCTATAACAAATTAGTAACTTAGCAACTTGAAAATTTATTACGTTACAGTTCTGAAAGGTCAGAAGTACAACATCTGTCTCATTTGTCTAAATCAAGTTGTCTTTTCTGAAACTTCTAGGACAGAATCCATATCCTTGCCTTTCCCACATTCCTTGATTTCTGGCACCTTCCATTTTCAAAGCCAACATGTATGTATTTTAAAATCAGTGATTATTTTTGGAAGTCTGTACCAGTGAGTCCAGTCACCCACATCTGCTTATTATCTACACGAGTCAGTATTATACTGTCATTGACACAGACTATGGCATAGAGCATTACAACCAAGACCATCTGATATCCTCAAGCAACAAAAATAACAATTGACAATGAATTATATTCATTATATCACTCTTACTAAATTAGGAAAGGTTATTAGTTCATTTTAGGACAAAATTTTAAAAGAAGTTTTAAATGAAAAGGTATTCTGCTCACACCTTGGTTAACAGGACAATTAAACTGGTTAGAACAGTTCATTCCCCCAAAGATCGTACTTAATCTTAGTTTTTCTGCATCATTTTAATTCTCACTGATATACATTATAGATTTTTATTGTTTTGTTTTGTTTTAAAGAGAAACAGTGAAGGATTTAAGAAAAATGTTTGATTGGAGAACTCCACACCTAAAGGAGTTCAGTTTCTGGAGTGGGACCATGCATTACTTCTTTCAACTTTTTTCCAAATTGTCATTATTGAACACGTCTCATTTTTAAAACGTTAAAAAAAAGAAAGAAAGGAAAAGAAAAACGAACACGATTTAGTCACCTGCAATTAATTACAGGCCTGACTTGTAAGGTAGCTTTTGAAGTCTCAGGAACATAAATGACAGGCTTTTGTTTGTTTGTTTGTTTGCACGGTCACCCGAAGCGTCCTGTACAATCTTCCCTGATACATTATTTTGAAAACTTCTTTAAAAATGAATGAAGACAGCAAATCATCCTCTGCACTTCCGACTGCACTGCCTGACTCCCTCTCCTCAGTGGGTGCCGGCCGGCCGAGGCCTCCGGGAAGGGCGGTCTCCCAGTCCCGGGCAGCCGGGGCGCCGCGGAGGCCGCGCTCACACCAGCTCGGCGCCGGCGCTCGCGGCGGGATTTGGGGCTACCCTGGGCCAGGCCGAGCCGGCGCCGCGCAGGGCCCGCCCCCGAGAGCCGGGCGCGGGGCTCAGGCCGGGGTTGCGGCCGCCGCAGCGCACAGGGCGCGAACCGAGCCGGCTGCAGGGGGAGCGGCGCTGGGGGCTGCGGCGTCGCGCCGGGGGCGGGAGCCGGGCGGCCGCGGGGGGAGGAGCGGCGGCGGCGGCGGCGGCGGCGGCGGCTCGAGCTGCTGTGGCGACGGACGCGCGGCGGTGGCAGGGACCCACCCCTGTCCACATGGACAGTCGCAGGGGCCTCCGCTGATGCATTCACGCCTGGGCGGGGTGGGCGGCCGGCCGTAGCGGCGGCTGCAGAAGGAGCGCGGCGCCTGCCGGAGCCTGACGGGAGCGGAGACCTCGTCGCCCCAGCGCGGCGGCTGCGGCCATTTTTACGCCCGGGACCAGGGGAGGCGTGTTGGTGGGCTCGTCTTCCAGCCCTTCCTGGGGCCCGCGGCTGGGGCAGCTTCTCGGGCGGCCTGGGTGGGCGGTGGATGGGGAGTCGTGGGCCGAGAGGAGCCGGGCCTGGGAAGCGCCGCCGTCGTCGCCGCCGCTCTCATTGCCCGGGAGCGGCCTGAGGAGAAAGCGGGCGGACAGGCCCGGAGCGCCCGGCCTTCTTTGTGTCGGCCGACCGGACGCGGGAGACCGCCCGCCCGCCGGCCCGGCCCAGGCCCGCAACCCTGCGGCGGTTACCCCCCGGCGGCGCGGCCCCTCATCCCGGCGAGCGCGGCGGCCGTGCGGGCCATGGAGTAAGGAGGCGGCGGCGTGGGAGGAGGAAGATGGCGGCTGGCAAGAGCGGCGGCGGCACCGGGGAGATTACTTTTCTGGAAGGTACTTTCGTCCGCCCTGGCGGGTGGGGAAGGGAGACGCGGGGAGACGTGGCCCGGCCCTCCGGCATTCGGTTATTCGCGCCGGGTCGATTCGGGGCGATGGAGGTGCCCGGGTGGGGGCTGCGGGGCCGATGGCGGGAGGGAGTGCGCTGCGGAGCGCAGGGTTCGAGGCCGTGGGTGCGAGGGTCTCGGCCCGGCGGGCGGGCGGGCACGGGGGGGCCGGGCTTCCGGAGCTGGCGGGCGGCCTTGGCGAGTGCACGCGTCAGTCTGACACGTTCGGGGTTTCGGTGGTGGCCTAGAAGGGTGAGAGCCGATTGCACTCGGGTCCCGTCGGGGGCCGTGGGAAGTTTCAGACGGCCGGGGCCGGGGCCGGGGGCCGGGGGCCGGGGGCCGGGGCCGGGGCCGGGGGTCGGAGGCCGGGGCCTGGGCCGGCCTCGCCGGGAGGGGAGAGGTGGTGCCGCGGTGTCGTGCCCCCGGTCCTTCTCTTTCGCGAAGCTTCAAGCTCCCTTTTGCCGCCAGCATTCAGGTTAGGCCTGGCCTTGTCTGATCCTCTTTCAAGGTGCGTTTTGCTGTAATACTTAATGAAATCATTTATCTGGGAAAAAAGAATGATATTCACAATCTCGATTGTGGGACCATCACCAAAGCTGATAGACAGGTTGGGTAGTTCCATTTTTGTTCACTTGTGAGGGGAAGTTAAACATTTGCTGTAGGTGGACCAAAGCTAGTCTAAAGGAAAGCTGAGTTATTGTTGGGAATGGGTCCCAGGGCCGGCTCTTTGCCCAGGAAGTAAGCAAGGACCCCCAAATACAGCTAAACTCACTGTGTTGTGGACCAAGAACTTCATTGCTCCCTTCGCTTAGTTTGAGTTTGCTCATGGGTTCAGTGTTTGCAGCGATCACTGGGTACACGCACACGCAGAGTTTAGGAAGGTGAGTGTATCTGCTGGCGCACTGATTATTACAGTAAAGTTGGGTAATTGGCAAGATGATTTTCATATGCAGTATAAGTGAAACTTTAAAAAAATAACTAATTAGAAACATTTCTAGATTAAGTAAGTACAAATGAACTGTGGTAACAGGTTCTTTAGGAGGGTGTTGAGGGATGGGTCCGCCTTGTTTGTGGCTTTGTTAACAAGTCCGGAACACAGTAGGTACTCAGCGTTAGTCTGATGAACGAATAGGGAATAACAGATGTGGGTGGGAAAAGAAATCTTAATTTACTTAATTCTTCCATGACTATATAGCAAAGCAAAAGGAATCTTACTTTGCTATGCAAGCCAGACTTTATCTGAAAATGATGTGAATTTTATACAATATTCCTAGTAAGAAGATGTGGAAAGCTTGTAAGTTTTTCTAGGTTCGTTTAACCCAGAAATGGAGGTTCGTTTAACCTCCATTCTACCTCTATTCTAGTTTGGGCAGACTAGGTGCGTGTTAGAGGCTGGTCGTGGTGCGGCTTGTGTTATAGGTGGTGCTATTAGAACCTCAAAAGATGACTTATATTCTGTATGCAGATGATTGTACTTTTGTGCGGTGTTAACGTTTGGGCCTCTGTGTGCTTCTGATTCAGTTTATGTTTTGACTGTGTGAACAAGAGCACAAATAAAGCCAACATAGACAGGGCTGATGTGAATTTCAAACTTGCCTTTATTTATTCTAACTTAAGGGTCTGAGTGTCCAAGTGTGATAAATTTGAGTGTCATCATATCTTCTTCAGCCTTCTCACAAAGAAGGCAAATGGTAACTTGTTTAGAATATGAGCATAAGGGAAAGGATTTCAGTTTCTCATTCAATTTTTTTTTTTTTTTTTTTTGGTACATGCCCCTAGCGGGAACCTAACCCAGAACTCTCTGGTCTGCAGGCTGATGCTCCAACCGCTGAGCCAAACCAGCTGGGGCTCTCATTCAATTTTTGAAATAAATAAAATACTATTCTCTAATTGTATTTTTAGTTTAATTCTTTTGGTTCTTTACACTTTTAATAAGAAAATGCTCCACTGTAACTTGTCATACATTTTGTATTACCATGTTTTCATAATGTTTATTCATAGACCCTTAGGATTTAATAGTTAAACATCTACATACAGTACTTTCCTTACTTTTTTTTTTTTTTTAATCCTCACCTGAGGACATTTTTTGATATTTTATTCAGATAGAGTGGGGGGGGGGGTGGGGAGAGAAACATTGACATGAAAGGGACACATGGAGTGGTTGCCACCCACATGACCCAACCAGGGCCTGGGACAAACTGCAACTGAGGTATGTGCCCTTAGCCGGAACCAAACCCATGGCTCTCTGAACCACAGGCCGACGTCGGCTCCTAACCCCTGAGCCAAACCGGCCAGGGCACTCTTAAGCGGACTTCTTGAAAAACTGATGTAGATTTTCATTCACTCATGAAATATTTATAGCCTACTCTGTACCAAGGTGACTGTAGCAGTGCATTAGATAGTTAAAGCCCCTGCTTTCATAGAATATATTTTAATGCGAGGCACTCTAAATAACTAACTATTAATCCGTTTAGAACAATCTTACTCCAAGTTTTCGCATTCCTGTCTTTATTTTATTCAGGTCTGCTTAGACCTGACAGCCTACTTTATTCGTCATGCTACCGCACACAATACAAACGCTGTATTCCCTTTCACTGTTTTATTTTTCATATTGTTACCTATCACATGATATGTTTTCATGTTTTTCAGTTCTACTAAAAATAAACTCTGTAAAACAATTATTTTGTTTTTTCACCATCATATTTTTTACACCTGGAACATACTTGTTGTTAATGATATAAGCAAGATAATATGATAAAGGCTATGGAAGAAATATACATACAGAACAATGAAAGAATGGGAAAGCCATTTTACATAGTGTTAAATAGTGAGGAAAGACCTTCATGAGGACTTGACATCTGAATTAAGGTAACATCTTAACTATGGGACACTTCAGAGAGGATGATGCATGTGAAGGTTCTGAGGTGATAATATATGATTCCATTTGTTAAAAGGGTCGTTATGGCCCTGGCCAGTTTGGCTCAGCGGTTAGAGCGTCAGCCTGCGGTCCGGAGAGACCCGGGTTCGTTTCCCGCTAAGGGCACGTACTTTGGTTGCAGTTTGTCCCCGGCCTTGGTTAGTCGTGCGGGTGGCAGCCACTCGATGTGTCCCTTCACGTCGATGTTTCTCTCTCTCTCTCCCTTCCTCTCCCTCCCTCCCACTCTATCTGTACAAAAAAATGGAAAAAATATCCTCGGGTGAGGATTAAAAAAAAATAAAAAATAAAAAAAAGTAAAAGGGTCGTTATGGGTGAAATGTAGCAAGCAAAGAAGAGAGTGATATGAAAGAGAAGCAATAAATCTGTCATACAAGATCATACATTTCTATTTCATTTTGAGAAGTGGGAAGTCATTGAAGAGTATGGGGCAAAGGGGTGTCAGATATACTTTATCTTTCAAAAAAATCACTGACCAGTGTGGAATGACTTAGAGAAGAACAAGAGTAAAAGCAGGAACATGAGTTGGAATATTATAGTAGCTGAAAGTAGAGGGTTGGGATAGAATGGTGACTGGAGATTGGGGAAGAGGATCTTGAAGATATGTTTGGATGTAGAACTAACAGGATTATAATGGATTGTATATTGTGGGTCAGAGTAAGGAAGGAATCAAAGTTGACTCACAGCGTTTTTATTTGAGATGTTGGGAGGTAATTTCATTTACTGAGGTGGAGTAGACTGGTAGAGGAAAGAGAAATCAAATTGAGTTTGAGATGCCTTTTTTCTAAATGATGTTTTACATTCTTATAACCACTAAGTAAATGCTGTTACCAACTATTTTCTTTTCTGGCTTCATTAGGGAAAAGGAGGTCTACTCGCTATGTTGTACTTTGTATAATATCACACTAAAATTTTGTGAATTTAATTAGACTACAGCTTGTATTGAATTTTTTTTTTTTCTCTTCTTTGACTTGATTCTTTCTCTTCTATTCATTTAAGGTTGTCTTATACCCCCTTTTCATTTGTGATAGTTTGGCAGGTTTATGTTTGTTCATTCATTCAACAGATATTTATTGAGCAACTGTAATGTAGGTTCTGTGGTGAGAGGCATGATGATGAAGAGGGAAAACGGTTTCTTTATGGAGTTTCTAGTCCAGTGAGGAAAGTCATTGATCAAAAATCACACTTGTAAATGTAAAATTATAACTATCAAGTGCAGCAAAAGGGGATTATTCATATTAATGAGAATTTTACCTAATCAGGGCAGTTTGAAGGGTAAATAAGAGAAGAAAAGGTGGGGAGGCAAAGGGAATAAAATAGAGGGTACATGTCATGTTTAGGGAACTAAAAGGACACTGTGGTGCTAGCAAGGAGAGTGGTACCAGATAAGATTGGAGGTACCATTGTCAGATTTGTTTTAAAAAAGGTCACTGGCTACCACATAGACAAAGCTTTAGAGAGCAACAAAAGATTATCAGCATGACCAGTTAGGAAACTATTGCAGTATAGGGCAGATGTTAGCTAGCTTGTTTTTGTAACCTTTCTTTTGATATTTTCCCCTTCTTTCCTCTGTGGAACTTCTAACAAGTTTATTTCCTTTCCCAGTTGTTTCTTATTTTTTATGCTGCACTTGTTCGTATCTAGCTTGCTTTCCCGTTGCCTTTTTTCTTCTGCCAAATAATTGCCTCAGCAATATTTTTCCCCATATTTCTCTGTCTTCCCTTTTATTTATAACACACACACCTACACACACCTTTGTTTTCCTATTTATTCTGGGTCCATCTCCCTTTGTGGACTTTGCCCAGTAGGCTAAAAAGACTGCAGTGTTGTCCTCTATACCAGCAACATTTCATTTATTTCCAAATGAAAGTGTCTTCCATTTCCCCTAAGCCATACTTAATTGGTTATAAATATGCATATAAATATAGTGCAACCCAATTAGTTTGTCACTTCTACTGGGGACAGTAAATACTTGACAATACTGCTTAACTAAAGCACAGTTTTTCCTAGATATC